ATGCGGGGGTGTAACATTACACACCAATCAAATTTTTAATTTTTGGAGATAGTTTCTAAATTTGTACTAGTTACACACCAAAATTTCAACACTGATTACTATGTGTCTATTTTTGTAATCTCCAGCCAAAATTCAAAACACTAGCTCCTTTTATTGATTTCTTCAAGACTATTCTTAATGCATAATTTATTATTATTGTGGTATATTCAATTTATAAGGTCACACAAAACCATGGGAACAATATGTTGGTGTGAGAAGCTTTCTTTAATTGATAAGATGATTGCTCTGGTTTACATCCTTTTTGTTGGGTCCAGAGCTACTGTTTAAAACTAATAAAAATGTTGATCCTTTCACAACCATCAATAATTTTATTTCATGTATAAATTTTGTTTAAGATATTAAATTCAAAGTAAACTGTGAAAATTTTCTGTGGAATAATGTCATCAAATAACAGTAAAAAATATTTGGGATCCTGGTTCTTTTATATGTATACTATTCTTTGTATTTCATATACATCCAAATCACTACAATATATTGAAATTCATGGCAAACAAAAGTATTGCTTTCCTGTTACTTGTAAAAATTTTGTTCTTAAAATGTGTCAAAATTATAATTAATATAATGTAACTGATAACTGATATATTTTTATTGAATTTTAATCAGACAGGCATTCTTCTCTTTTGGAACCATCCAAAATAGAATAGTCGCATATAACCAACCTATTTATGTAATCCAAATACAATGTTGATCATCCATAATAATAATAAATAAATTAAAAACCTTAGCTAAAGAAATACAAATAAGGAAAATTTGCTACATAATTTATGATCCACTTTTATATTAGCTTTAAAAAAAACTTTGTTACAAATAGTAAAATTTAAAACACCAAGATTTGACAAGATTTAATAAACTGATGATTTCAAATAAAAAAATCATGCAAATTGTTTTTAACACAAAAAATATCAAGTCCATCTGTAAAAACCAAATTATCAAACACCGTATAATTATTTTCTTTTTAAAAAAATGCAATTAATAAAAGACATGCATGTATAATTAAGTTTTTGATTTATATTTAGTGAAGAGAGGAAGAAAAGAAAGTCACTTCTTTCATCTAAAATTTGTTCATCGCCAAATGAATAATCATCATCACTGCCATCATTCATTCATTTCATTAATTCCATAAATTGAAATTATAAATATAATTGGCCTCAAATAGAAACGGAATTTAATAGCATAATATAATAAATATCATTCTCTCATTTGTAAATTTCGATTTTCCTTATCCCATGTCATTAGAATTTTTATTAAGCTAATAATAATCATCTCTTTCGCTTTCAATATAATCATCGTAATTGCCACCACCCATCCCAGTATTCACGAAATCAAATGCAGCAACATTAAGTGGACAACGAAAAAAGCTTATATCAACCTTTAAATCTTCGTCATCATCAAACGGATCATCAAATAATCCTATAAAAAATATATATTAATATGTATGTATGTATGTATGTATGCATTTAAAAATTGAATTGAAATATTAAAATAGAAAATTAAAAATTAAAAACCTTGGACGGGTGGTGGGCAATATTCTATATCATCATCATCACTATAAATTTCATTTTCGTGATTATTATTATTACTATTAATAGGACCATTGATATTATCTTCATTCTCATTGTTAACTTTATTACTATTATTATTGTTATTGCTGAAAATCTCATCATTATTATTCTTATTATTAAATTTATTATTATTCTTATTATTATTGTTTCTGTTGTTGAAGATATCAAAATTAAAAAGTTTTACATTGTTATTTGTATTCGTTTTATTGCTTAAAGCAATACGTCTAGCAGTTGGAGTTACTGGGGTCACTGGAGTTGTTTTATTGTTGTTGGTAGCAGCATTTCGTAAAGGCGTGTTAAACAATTTAGAATTTTCATTTTCTCGTGACATCTTTTAAAAACAATAATTTCATTATTTGTTATTATTATTATATATATATATATATACACACACACACGCGCGGTTTACACAAACTTTTTTAAAGTTGTTTGTTACATGAAGATATTATTAATGATAATCATTTCAAAAATTTTTTTTTTACACCTAAAAAATTAAATTAATAAAAAAATGTCGTTTATGCATCCATTTGGAGTTCAACAACAACAGCAACAACAAGCAGTCAATCCACAAAATATGGCAATGGTTGAACAAGAACTTGAAATGGTGACTGATACTTTTTATCGGTAAAAAAAAAAAAATGGAAAAAATTAATTCTCAAACAAAACCATTTTGAAAAAATGGGTTTTTTATAACAATTTTACATATTTATTATTATTATTATTGTGTAGTATTGTAGATTCATGTTTTAAAAAATGCATACCACCAAAATATATTGAAGAAGATTTAAATAAAGGTGAATCAGTGTGTATTGATAGATGTGTAGCTAAATTTTTTGAAGTTAATACAAAGATTAGTGAAGTTTTGGCAAAGAAAAATCAGCAAGCTGGTACTAGTGGACTCGTTTAAAAATTAATTTCACAGAAACATTCTTTTGGTAACAATTAAATAAAAAATTCTATTTTGCATCGAATCATGTGTAAAATTTCATATCTTTAATATTTTTATTAATTGAGATGTGATAATTAATAGACATCTTGAATAAACAAACAAACATCTATATTTTTTTGTAAACAAGCTAGGTAAACATGTCAGCTGTGATGAAATCATCGATCTTTATAAAAATAATGTGCAAATTAATTTTGGTTGAACCTATTGTTTTTTGGTCATTGGAGATGCACTTGGTGATGGTTAAAAGAAATACAAAAAAATTATATATTATATTCTCAAACCATCTATTTACTAACCTTTCGAAAATAACACAACCATCATTATAATCCTCCAGTTCTCCCTATTCTGTATATGCTTGTAATAAATAATTGATATGTAAAGAATTTGAGTTCACTGTAGTTAAAATTCATCAATTGTAAAATCTGCAAGTTCTTTTTTTACACTATTTACATTGCCATTGTCACTGTCAATTAAAGAATTTTCTTGGTGTTATCTTTGGATAAAAAACTCTTCCATTCTGAAGGCTTCATGTCCAAATATGTCTCCACCAATATTGGTCTTTGAACCTCGATTTTTATTGCTCTTATTTGCGAATAAATTATTGATATGTAGTAGGACTTTGACAGGTTATTATGTTTTTGATCATAAGAAATAAGATATTATTAGTAATCGTTTATTAATAAATAATAAGAAATAATAATTCATACTGATTCATTGATTGTACATTGATTCATGAATTGAGATAAATACCCTAAATATATATAAATTAACAATATATTGTAAAATGTTAAAAGACATTAGTAGTAAGTAATACGGTTTTTTTTATATATAATATATGTAATACTTTTATAAACTTGGTTCTTTCAATTTCTTTTTTTTTATAAAGAAATTCCTGACTTACCCATAAAGTAATAATTATACCTTCTCAGCTATCTATCTTTTTCAAGTCTTTTTTTAAAACAATTTCAGCTTTTGAAATAAAAATAACACATTTTTGAATAACCATCACGGTTTTACATACAGAACACCTTTCAATATTTATTCATCAGGATAAAAATTCGGGCACATTTACTAATTGAAGGCTGTGGTTTGTGAAATTGTTATACAACATGCATCAAATTTTATATGGAAATGTCAAAAAATATAAAAAACAAAAAAGTCTTTATAAGATAGGGAAAAAAAGAAAGATATGTAGGCAGTCACCATTCGAAAGTTTTTTAGCATAATGGACATAGCATAGTGGAGACCGTTCTGGACACAAAATTAACAAAATTTTAACCCATGCCATTTGTTGATTGACCAATTAAAATCACGAATTTGATAAACGTAGAAATAAATATGGTTTGATTCATTTTGTCAACAATCATTTCACCAACAATTGTTTCATTAACGAATTTAAGAAGTTGGAAGCAACCATGCGACAAACCATTGAAATAGTCTAATAAATTAATTGTACTACTCGAAAATGTATTTAAAGGGTTGGTTTTTGACTTGGTCGAAGTAAAGAAAATAAATTATTATCTTTTGATTTCATATAAAAAGATGCCATTTCGGTTAGTTCGATCTACGTATCCCAAAGCTTTTTTTTGACTGCCCAATAAATAATAAGAAAAAAATATGGATTTCATTGTACTCTTTAATGGCGCTGGTACGTATGATGAACTAGTTGATATTCTACAGCGGTATATAAAAAAACACATATTTTTGATCTATTCTATTCTAACAAATTTTTCACAGCCATTATTAAGATAATATTCCGGATTCTGTACCCATTTAAGCAGTATTCACCAGTGAATATATTCAAAGCGATTAACTAATCTGTAATTACATTGATTTATTATGTCTCTAACAATCTCACGTTTAATTGACTTTGCTTATTACCTGCCCATCCTTCGGAAGTATAAAATCTCCTCCTAATATTTTTTCTGCATCTTCCCGATTTTTAGCTCGAACTATCATTCCATATTGATCTTTAACAAAACATCAGCATTCCACTGCTTATAATTATTTTAGACCCGTAAGTTTTTTGACAATTCTCGATTCAGAGTACAGTCAAACCTCGTTTCAACGGATCTATGGGACTGACCACCTAAATCCGTTGAAACGAGATAATGATCTACAGGATCAACAGGAAAATTTTAATAATAAAATTTTTGTGATTTAAATTTTGAATATAATAATAATACTTAATACAATACTTGATATAATACAGTAAA